CTCTGCTGGTGTTCTTTGCCTATAGTCGTCCTGCGTTGCTTGAGCTTCGTGCTTGGTCTTGAGACTCTGCAAAGCATTACATGTATACCGCAGCTGTCAGTTCGAACTGTTGCTACCGGACAGAGCGGCAGGAGCATCGCAACATGCATTACAGACACGCCTTGCAGAAGCTACCTTTCGTAACAAACTGCGTCTTTGCGAAGAGCACAGCTCACCACTTGGCCGCGTGTCACAGACTCTGGCCCATCAGCTACAGCTGAGACCATGGACAAACCTCCCAGTCTGGGTCCTTTTCTGGTGCTCAGCGATAGCACCTTGCAGCACATGCTGCGGGGACACACTTACGGAGTGTTCCCGCTGCTGACGGGACAGGTCTTAAGCTGCCCAGGCGCCGCCCTTAACATCTCTGCCGGCAGCGTCCCCTCCATCTTGGAGCTCCTCCACTGGCAATTTGGGCTCTTTGGGCCGCACAAATTCACAGCGGCAGTGCAGAGTCCGCCGGTGGCCTCCATCTTGGAGAACCACCTCGACGGACAAATCAACGTTCGCTTCATTCCGCTGTCCCGAAGCCTGCGCCCGGAGAAGCAAATCAATTATGACTACCTGATCGATGGCAGGGTCCAATATGGATTTGCGGACAAGAACCTGCACAACCAGGAAATCATGGACCTGGCCCAGATGCCTGGTGTAGGAGGGGTAGAATGGCTCTACAACTCCAAGAATCTCCATTTCCGCCCCGACGTCGCGGACATTGTCATCCCGGCGCTTGTAACCAGAGCCATCGAGGAAATGCGCAACACCCCAGGACTGCCTGTCCTCGTGGTCGCTGGTTGGAACGCTCGCGAGCAGGACATGCATGTCGAAATGCTCGCTGCCCAGGCTCTGTCACAGTGCCGAACGGTCCGTGATCTTTCAGAGGTAGCCATGCAATACGGACATGGCCCCTGGGGAATGCGCTTCACACATCTCCCAGAATGGGAAGCCGCCCCTGTACCAGCCCTCCTCTTCCAGACCTACGTTCACGACGAAAAGCCGGAACCGGCCCAAGTTGCGGCCAAAATGTTTGCTGGCTTCACCCGCAGATTCTGTGATGATGATGTTCTTCGGGCTACCTTGCGGCAACTCGCAGGAAAGTACGGCTCCAATCTGCTAGATCGCCTCAGCCAACCTGCTCATCGAGCAGACGTGTTCCGCTACGTCTACCACTACCAGCACGGCGGCCTCTACGTCGACATCAAATGTGGCTTCGTGGTACCTTGGGAACAGGTACTCGTGTATCTCGCAGCAGATTGGAGCACAGCTCACTCAAAGAAGGCAGGTGAAGTGGGTCACAGACCCTCCCCACCTGGCCAACTCCCACAGGAGTTCATGGTCATGGCCATAGGAGTCAAAGGAGATCATATTTTTCAAGGCATCATCTATGGCAAGCCCAGACACCCCTTGATGAGGGAAGCCATACAGCACGCCTTCAGCCGTCAAGTTATGACAGCGAAGGCAAACTTGGAATACATGACCTTCTGCAAATATCTTTGGCAGATCTTGGGTCGCGACCTTGGTCACTCCCCTCAGCCGGGATGGAACGTTTCCACCAAATTTGGCCCCATTTACCTGTTCTCGGAGCGCTGGGACAAGCGAGTGAAGAACAAGAAATACGACAATGATGGCCACTACTTCGTGACTACCAACAACACGACCGTTGCATATACCCGGTGCTGGAAGTGGCTGAAGGGATTTCAGGGAGACCCAACCACCAAAGAACGCACAGACCGCATGCTGCAGAGCCAACTCCCTGACATCTCCCTTGAAATCCAGTCTGACAGACCTGAAGAGCACAGCTCACCACAGCCACCTAGGTCACAGACCATGACAACCGCCTCATCGGCTCCCCCTCCTCCCACTCAGGAGGATATTGAAGCCTATGTGGCCGACAGCATCCAGTACAACTCCTTTGCAGAGATCATGGCTACGGTCCGTGAAACCCACCACTACAATCAAGACCTTACAGAGCAGGATGTGCTGGAGCTTATCCCTCGAGGATTAGGGCAAGTGAAAGTTTCGGGGGACATGTGGTTATGCTGCTTGCACTGCCGGAAGCACAACAGGCAGGTGCAATTCAGCACTAGCCACGGCCTAAAGAACCACTTTGTCACTCAGAAGCACAACCCAGCACTCAGTGCCACGCCAGACCCCCACACTCCTCCCCCTCCTCCTCCCCCCAAGCTCCCACAGGAAATTCCTCTTCCCCCCAGCAGTACCAGGACCAAAGGTGTAGACAAAGCAGCCGGCTTTGAGCCGCCACCCTCCCCCCCCGTGCCCTTTCACTTCCTCAGCAGCTGAAAAGGCGGCTTTCAAAGCAGGCCAAGCAGAGACACCGAAGGCGGCCCCGGCGCTTCCGGTTAAGGCCCCACCGCCCATGGTGGCCACCCAATGCCCCCCGCCCTCTTCATCATCGGCGGCACCAGCTCCCCCTCCGGCGATTCCAGTTCCCCCGATCCTTCCGCACCCCCCCAAGTCCGTCTCTCCCCCATCCCCCGCCACCCAGGCCGCTCCGCGCTCCCACACGCCCCCTCCTCCCTCTTCCCGTCCCCCGTCAGCATATGAGCCTCCGGAATCCAATGCGGAACTCGTCGGCTATGTCCCACAGCCGGCTCCACGGCTGACAGTACGTTACACGCGGCAGGAGCTGGCTCAGCTGCTGAGCTCCCAGTCCCATCAGGACTGGATTCGGGCCTTAGCTTCCATCAACATCCTGGTGGCTCCGGTCATTCTTGGCGGCCTCACCAACCAGGAACAACAGACCCTTTGGTCTACCAGGATGGAAGCACTCCGAGAAGTTCCGCCGCTGTTCTCTGCCATCAAGTCCGTAAGGACGCAAACCGGCCTCACATGGGACACCGCCATGTCGGTGAGGCGGGTCCTCACAAACGATGGGAAGGTCACCATCGCCACAGGCGCGGGTGACGCCTACCGTGAGCTGGACGCGCCAACAAAAGTGCATGGCCTTATCCATGCCTGCTTCAACAAGATGTGGGACGAAAAGGCTTTTCGGCAGCACTTCCCCTCGTGGGTCGAGTTCAATATGATCGCCACCACCATAGTGGCAGTCTACAATGAGACGGCCAAATCAGCCGGACTCCCAGCTCGTGTCTTCCGGGTCAAACCCGACAAAAATGCCTACTCCATCATGAAGATGCGGATACAGCATGACAAGGGGAACGAAGAGGACAAGCGCATGGCCAAACTGGCTGCTGCTGCCCCTAACAAGCGCCCACAGATGCAGGAGGCCGACACAGAGGGCAAGCGGCAGCGCGATGGCCCCTCCTCATCCTCCTCGTCCCAGTGGGCCAGACAGGCACGCTCATCTCAGGACGACGACTGGGACTGGTGGCAGCAGTGGTCCTGGCATGGATACTCTCACCAGTGGCCAAAAGGTCATGACCAGTGAGGGCGGTAATATGTCACAGACTCTATGATCCCTTATGTCACAGACTCAGGGAATTCGGCACTCTTCCGACGCCTAGCACATCTCTTCGGAAGAATGTGAACCGCGTGCTAGCCTCGCTTAAAACAGCACTTTGCGCTACAGCGAATTGCCCGCATCCTCGCTGCCCAAAGACTCACCCACCGAAGTTGCTTCAGGTACCAGCGGTCATCCGCACATGACCCTTACGGCCTTCTGTCTTCAACATGAGTAATCCGTGTGGGACGCCACGAGACGGATACTCCAGGTGGCGGCTTCGCCTGAGGTACGGCCTAATTGTTGAGACAGGTGCACAGATGGACGCGTCTGTTCACACCAAGGTGTCGGAGAAGGAAGCTTTTTGTAGCAGTAGCAGTTGCAGTAGTATGTCAAGTTCGAGCTGATTAGAGAGACCTGAGCGATGCATGCTAGAAGCAGTTTCACGAGTGCATGAGACCAAAGGCGCCCGCAAAGCGCAGAGCACGCTCGCGCAGCGTTCAATTGAAAATAGTAGTCGTAGTCGTAGTCGTAGTCGTAGTAGTCGTAGTAGTCGTAGTAGTCGTAGTAGTCGTAGTAGTCGTAGTAGTCGTAGTAGTAGCAGTAGTAGTAGTAGTAGTAGTCGTCGTCGTAGTAGTCGTAGCAGTAGCAGTAGCAGTAGCAGTAGCAGCAGTAGGAGTCTTAGACGGCGTAAGACTAACTAGTATTAGGATTTGTATGTGTAAGAGTTTTTTGGTGATAGGAGTGGCAGTAGCAGCAGCAATAGCAGTAGCGGTACAAGTAGCAATCAATAGGAGTGGCAGTAGCAGCAGCAGCTGCCGCGGCAGTTGTTGTTGCTGCCGTGCTTGATAAGTACCATCGGGATCTTCGCCATCATGGTCGTCGTCATAAAAGGCCTATTACACCATGGCGGTGATACTTATGACGGTGATGATGATGACGATGATGATGATTCAAATGGCTCATGGATGATGGTGATCATGGCGACGATGACGTTGCTTGGTGCCAATTCCGTGGTTTTCTGGAAACTGGAAGGCTCGAGATACACCTTGCCGGCCTGGGCTTTGAACCCCGCAGGCCGGAATCGATTTCTCATGTTGGCGGGCCTTTGCAACATAGTTTGGGCGGTCCCCAAAACGCCTGGTTGTGCTTTAGGATTCTAGGCTGCAGGGATTCAGATTTTTAAGGTTCTGCCCCGAAGGGCTCAACAAATTAAGATCCCACAATCTTCCAAGCATGATATCAAGCGGGCTAGGGTCATGGTCAGTTGTGCTAGAGCACGGCCAACTTGCAACTGACAATTCTCGGGGCAACTCTACACCTCCCCGTGTTAAGCCTTCCTTCAAATTACAAAGCAACTGCATCCCTTTTCGCTGCATCCTTGTCGGGGTGAGGATTGAAAGGAGCTTGGTTTAGCGTCCGGGGCTTCGGGTTGAGTCTGCTGCTTCAGGTCGGGGATTTCTTGTTCAATCTTAACCTCTTGCAGAGCCTGGCTTACAAAATTTGATCTCAGAGACGCTGCGCGCTACCATGTACAGCTGGCCTTCTTTTCGACAGACTCCTCCTCTTCTCGCTTTATGCGCACCTGCATCGCTGTCTCTAACTCCTTCAAACGATAGCCAAAGGTTCCAAGTCCGCAATCTGCCCTGCTGAAACATGGTCACCATGACAACGGCAGCCAGCCGGGCAACCCAAATTCAACCTAATCCGGAATCCCCCATCGACACGAATCCTAACTTGCTCTGTGAAACCAGTTGCATAACCTACCTAACGAACGTGGGCATTCATTATAGCTCTCTCCGCATCTTGGTAGCTACCGATATGACTAGGTTCCAGATAAGCAGCACTGCTCTACCACCCACGCACTTCTACTAAACCGCGATGGATCTGTAAGCGATGCGATTAGTGACGGAGGCCGAACCTAAGTGGACTGCAGGCATCAGCAAAACTCCCCCCACTAGGTTTCGTAAGAAGTGTTGTGAGACTGTATATGGGCGAACGCCACTACTGAAGGTCTGTGCTAAAAGCTTTCCGTGACCGCCGAAATTTCAGCACGTTACCTGAGGAAGGCTCAAGCTTGAGCGACTGGTTTGGCCAACTGTAGCTTCCATAGCGGCAATTTGAAGGAGTTCCCCCTTAAAGGGTACTATAGGGTTCTATAATAAGGGTCTGAAAGCACCAAACATCTAACCTGGCCACGACACTGACGCCTTACTGCAAGACAAACTAACACAGACAATGATCAACGACATGGATTCCCCATGAAGCCTTGTCCTCGACAATGCGCTGTGATAGAGCATGTGCCAATTCCTGTTTGCTGTGACTGCTCCCGGATGAGCGCTGTGGCACGCCCGCAGCGGCAGCAAGCCCACACAACTGCCTGACAGTCAGTCCCCGAAGCTCCGCACGGAGCCAGGCTTCACCGTGCTCGCCAAAGCCCTCTCGCAGGCCATTCAGCTGCTGTGGCGGCAAAGCCATGTGATGGAAAAAGTGTCCACACCGGCCCTTTCGCAAGACAGCGTCGAGGCAGGCAAAGGACTGTCCTAACTATGGTAAGATGCTGCAACGTGTCTTCACTTTCGAGCAAAGCCTGCGGGTCAGCGTCGAGGCAGGCAAAGGACTGTCCTAACTATGGTAAGATGCTGCAACGTGTCTTCACCTTCGAGCAAAGCCTGCGGGCCAAACATGTGCAGTGAGAAAGCCTCTGCAAACCATGAAAAGATTCCGAGCCTGAAGAAGTCACCAGCCAGGCAGCGGCGCGTTGCGTCCTCGACAATGCACTGTGATAAAGCTTGTACCAACTCCAGCTTGGACAGAGTGCGCCAGAACGAGCGCTGCGGCACGCCCGCAGCGGCAGCAAGCCCACACAACTGCCTGACAATCAGTCCCCGAAGCTCCGCAGCGAACCAGGCTTCACCGTGCTCGCCGAAGCCCTCTCGCAGGCCATTCAGCTGCTGTGGCGGCAAAGCCATGTGACGGAAAAGTGTCCACACCGACCCTTTCGCAAGACAGCATCGAGGCAGGCAAAGAACCGTACTAAGTATGGTACGATGCTGCAACGTGTTTCCCCTTTCGAGCAAAGCCTGCGAGTCCTCTGCAAACCATGAAGAGATTCCGAGCCTGAAAAGAAGTCATCGGCCAGGCAGCGGCGCGTTGCGCTGTCGCAAGACAGCGTGCGCACAGCGCGCCGTCAAAGGTGGGCGCTCGACCAGGCCAATCCCTGTGAAGGGTTGTGCGGGGCGCCTAGAATGTGTAACTTTACCTAGCGTTTGGGCGCTCGACCAGGCCAATCCCTGTGAAGGGCTGCATTCCCGATCGATGACGACGGTGCCACCCTGGCTTTAGAAGAGAGAATATATACCGAGATGTAGACAAGTCGGTTAGAAGAAGCACAGAGTCATAGTGTCATAGAGTCATAGAGTCATAGTGTCAAGTATCATAGATAAGTCGGATAGAGTCAGAAGCACAGGGTCATAGTGTCATAGAGTCATAATGTAATACAAGTGCATAGAGTCATAGCAGACAGTGCATAGAGTTAGAGTCCTGGTAAGTCATCTATGTACTCGACTCTATGTCTGTCATCTATGTACTTCTCTAACCGGCTCCGCACGGAAGAACCCTTCACGATGCTTTCGGGAAAACGTGTAATTAACGAGCCCCTGCCTTAGTATGGGCTTTTGCCCTAGAGATGGTAGAGGCTTAGATGTAGATGCCCTGGCTTCAAAACCCTGCTACGCTGCTGGCACCGCTTCTCCGGATGCCATAAAGATTTTTGATGTACTGTCAGGCAACCTTGAGAAACAGTTTTTACATTTTTCCGTCAATCTCGCCTTCTCGGGGCGGGACTCGTCCTGTTCCTCCTTTGGCCTACGTGGCATTTTCTTCACCTGTCAGCAATTGTCGGAGGTGCGCTGATGACATTGAGGGCTCCAGGGCAAATGCTCGAAGTGCTTCCTCGAACCGAGTTTATAGTAAGGGGTATCTTCTATCAAGTCTCCTACCGTGAAGAAATGCCACATAGTCTTCAAAGGCTCTCATGATCTTCGGAGCAAAGCGCATCCAATCCTCGACCCGGATCTTCTGTTTTTGGGGCTGATATCTGTAGCCCCACACAAGATCGAGTTTTACGGTTCGGGGATGGGTTCGTACTTAGTGCGGATAGCAAGTATCCCGACAGCCATCTTTGAACAACAGCCTTCGCCTCGAACTTCCATCAGGGTGGTTGTCAAAATTAGGGTCCCTTCTTGGGCCCCCTATATAGTACGACACCTAATATTTACGGTGCCGAACAAGGGGCCATCATCTTGACAGTCTGACAACCACCCATCAGGTACAGCTACAAGATGATACAAGCAAACAGCAGCGGTCCCGCGCTCACCGCACTTGGAGAGGGGGGAAGGAGGGATGTCAAGTGTCGGCTTGCACATCCCCAACCACGAACTACATCCGAAAAACTACGAATATGTGGACTTTAATAATTAGAATAGGGTCATTATAGTATAGGGAGGAATTCCCACACCCAAGTTGCAAAACCACAAACCCCGCATTTTTTGAGTCCTGCACCTCCGGTCTGGGCCGGGGCCGTGGCCTTTGGCAGCCTCGGCTGAGACACGAATCACTGCTCTCATGTGGTGCACCACTAGTTCATGGTTGGGATAGGATTAAAAATGGACATTTTTATTCCTGATTGGGTTTAAGTACCCATAAAGATGCAAAATGTCACCTCACTATGACAAAGACCATTGGCCTCCGGTACGAGCCGTTGCCAGGCTTGGGCTTTGCGTGAGACTGAAAAGTAAGTCCTCGCGAACTTTTCATTCGCGGTTCTGATTCTGTAAACCCATGAAGCCTAAGATCCTGTCCTAAGCCTACAAACAACTAAACCCTAGACCCCAAAACCCTGACGTCCCAAACCCCCAGATGCAAACAATCAAGCTTGAATCCCTAAGCTCTCCAAACTCCACCAGCATCTGCAGTAAGTAAGGCGCTTCCCACCTAACACTCCAAGCCCTGCAGTCCTACGTGAGTCCCAAGCCTTGAACCCCAACCCTACTTGGAGGTTCATGGGTAGTTGTAAGTGGGGTTATAAGCAGGGTAACTTTAGTAATAAGCCTACTTATAACTGCCCATGAACCTCCAAGTACGGCCCTCATGCTTGCAGCCGCTAAACCCCAGAACCGAGAAGCTGGAAGGCCGGCACCCTGAACTCCAAAACTCGAAGTTCTTCTCTGGGGCCTCAAAAATTGGTACAGGGTTTTGGGGCCGATTATACTATACTCAAAAGAAGGAACCCCCAGCATAGTATAGGTAATTATTGAGGCCCCTATATTACAGCCGAAAGCCCAAATCTCTTCTTGACTTTGTGAAAGAGTCTGCTGCGCCGCGGCAAAGGAGAGCGCACGGGAGCCCCACGACCTTGGGTGCTCAGTTTGGTTTGTGAGTTTTCTATTCAAGTTGAGTTTGCTGGCTGAGGGTTCAGTCGTTCTTTTCCAAGTTTATGGGTCTAAGTTGGGGCTATGTATCACAAGTGATCATCTATGGACATCCCCTGTACTAATCACCACCGAACCCTGGAACTAACCCTGGAGCCTGAAATCCCTAAACTACTCTCCAAACTCCCCAAGCCCCAAAACCTGACACACTGCTACTACAAGACATCAAACATCAAAAAGAACCCACAACGTCATCGCCGCGTTCACCAAAAAAACACCAACATAACAAATTTCCAAAAAGCTTAAACGCTCGCACAAAATCTTCTGATTTCGGCCGCAGCTCCGACCGATGTCAGCCTGAGTTTCCGATGCACACGCCAGCAACGCTTCAGGTTTCTAGAAGGCCTTGGGGATCAGACTGATGCTAATCGCCCAGTCTACCTTGCAGTATGCCATCTAACACATCCCAATCAGTGTTTAAGTGAACCTAACCCTGAGCCTTGAATACCACCCTAAACCCCCCACCTCCCTTCTGCAAAACACCACTTGGAGGTTCATGGGTAGTTATAAGTAGGGTCATAAGTAGGGTAACTATACTTATAACCCATATCAGGGGCCTTACAACCCCACCTATAATTACCCATGAACCTCCAAGCAGATCAAAAACTGACGAACTCTTCTGCGCAGCTTCAGAGGACGGTGCTTGGCCTTCCTGCGCTTCACCCTCGCAGCTCGATGTCTAACTTGGGGGCTTCTAGGGGCTCAGGGCCTTTTTGTGTTGAAGGGCCCCTTTTTCCTCCTGATTTAGTGGTTAGAGTTTAGTGTTAGTAGGGGATAAAGATTTCTGATATGAGGGCCTTGCCGAAGTTTTGGGTTGAGGGTGTCTGAACTGTCTGAACCATGCAATTCTATATGCCCGTAAGCCCTTAACTCCGAAAGCCGGAACCCCGAAGTTGAGATCGTTGGATTTCAAAGGTTTTTTTGGTTGTGGGGGCTTGTCTTTAGTGTTGACGTCGAGTCCTTTCTTTTCGACAGCTTTTGTCGTTTATGTTAATGCCAAAATGTGTTGTGGTTCGTTCCTTTAGAAGGAAGGTCATCCCAAGCTAGCCTCAAACATAGCAGTGGAAGTGGAGCGATCCTGGACCTCCTTACCACGCGTCAGCCCGATCGTCCTGAGAAAGCCCGCACTGCTCTGAACTCCATGCTGAAGCAACACTCGCGAAGATCTCCAAAGCACAGGGACGACCCCAAGCAGACTTGAGTAACTAGTAGCAGTAGCAATGCTCGCAACAAGTCTAACTACAAAGCCACCAAAAAGCTGCCCTGCAAGGCCTGCGAAGCGGCCTGCCGGAAACCTTCATGGGCTCAGGCTCGGGCTGCAAGCTGGGTGAGCCTCAGAACCCTACTTGTCGGGTATCATGGGAAAAAAAAAGTTAACCTTTTTGGTTACGTAGGGAATTATATAGGGACTCTACTACCCAAAAAAGGGTAAAAGGATACCTACTCTACTGCTAGGGAAGTTTCGGCATGTGAGATGTAGGGCCTCCAAGGTTCTAAGGTGTGAGGATGGAAGCCCTTCTTTCCTTTTCCCCCATGACGATCCCCTTGATGGGCTTTTGGGGTACTCTAGGCCTTCATTATTGGAAACCAAAATTATAGTAAGGAACCCACCCCCCCCAAAAAAAAAAAAACATAGTATAGGTCATTAGTTGAGGCCCCTATAGTAGATCCCAGATGGCATAGAACAGGATCATGGCTCCGAGGTGGGGGGTTTCCCACTCCACCTCGAACGGAGGAGACAGGGGCCGCCACGCCTTCCAGCGGTACCCAGAGACTCCAATATCCCTTAATTAGGGAATATTCCTTAAATCATATTAGGGATCCTACTATGATTTAAGGAATATTCCCTGATTAAGGGATATTGGAGTCTCTGGGTAACCTTTAACTCACTCCGAACCCAAGGCCTAAACCCAGCAATCCTGTATCTTCAGTGCCCCCAAACTTCGACAAGGAACCCTGGACACTGAAACCCGAAGCCCGAGGACCCCAAATCGTTAGAACCTCCATCCGAAATACACAAAACCGCAAATCCTAAGCCACAAACCCCTAGAAACTTAAACCCCAAAAAACTATCAGGGGGTACCAAAAGCCGAAACCCCACAACCCCAAACTCCAAAGAACCACCAAATCACCGAAAATCCCTGGCAAAATAACCTCGAGCGTCTGGAGTTTCTGCCCAGGAGCGCTCCCAGTTGGGCTCGGGCTCAGCCTTCACCGAGCCTCATTATTCAACTGGGTTGTGCTTTAAACCCTTCGAAAATTATTTATGAATAGGTTCCCTTTATAAGGAAATAAGGGAAATTTAAAAAACCAAAGCACAACCCAGTCAACGATTCTAAGGCTTGGGGTTTATGGGTTCACGCGGGGTTTAGGGTTTCGTGGGTTTCAGGTTCACTGCTTTAGAATCTCGAGGTTTGGCGTTTAGGGATTCGGGGTATAGGGTTTTAGGGTTTTGGGGTTGGCTTTAGGTTTTGGGTTTTAGGATTTTGGGCGACAGGCTGTATAGGGTTCCTAGGGATTTGGGGTTTAGGCCTTGCCACTGCAGTGCTGCACAAATTCCAGGGCTGCCCAGTCTCCATTCCAATCAAAATTAGCATTAGTTCCCCGGGTTCAAGTATTTTGTTTTCGTCCCTTTTCCTCCTGCCACAGAGTGTTAGTCGGAAAGCCTGTCAGACCGGGTTCAGGGTTTAAGGTTTGGCGTTATGGTCAGATTTTAAGGAGAGATGCCGACCTTCCTGCGAGGACACCCTTGCCAGTACCCGCCCGCCAGATAGGAGGACATAAGAAGCGGCCAGGTTAGAGGATAGGCAAAACAACAGATAGCAGGACACAAGAAGAGGACAGCTTAGAGGGCAAATAACAGGACGCAAGAAGGGATCAAGACAGGTTCTCGGGGGCATTTGAGGTTTAGCGATTCGGCTTTTAGTAATTTTGCGGCAAGTCCTCCTTTTCACAGGCCAGTGCGCGCCACAGAGGTTGTGCTCTGCTGTAGATACAGTAACGCGGGACCTTGGAACACCAGCTACGAATGAGTGAGTGAGTTCAGGGCTTCGGGATTTGGGGTTCAGGGTTGTAGGATTTGAGTTTTACGGTTCCCGGTCATAGTCTTTTAGGATTTGGGTTCTAGCGATGTCAATATCAATTCAGCCGGATCAGGGATCCGGGTAATTTGCGGAATCTTCACACCGGAAATGTCGCCCCCCAGACAGTCTCGGTGTTGGACCCAGAAACGCAAACCCCAAACTCCAACCGCTACAAAGACCGGCCGCAAGAGTTCATGCCAGCGCGGCATTACCTTAACCCGGAATAACCTACCTTTTTAAAGGACTTATATAAGGAAATCATAATAAGGAACCTTAAAAAGGTAGGTTATTCAGGGTTAAGGTAGGGTTTGGGGAGCAGCCCTAGGCTTTGGTCTTTAGGGCTGAAGCCCTCCGAGCTCCTTCTGGCAGCCAGGGCTCTGTCCAGAGCTCCAAAGGTACCAGCAGTTGTAGGTTTCAGTGGCTCTGGAGTCAGAAAACTTGTAGGATCAGACCTCGATGTGGCGCTTGTTGAAGATAGGGATGCAACACTCAGAGCAGGTTCTGAATTAGTACATACTGCAACCTGACGAGCTTAGTAAGGCATCACTTGCCATCGAAACTCCTCCCCTTCGTTCTGGAAGGTTCGGGCATGGCTCCTTCCCTTCCAGGCCGTGCCGCAACAGCAACAACCTTGATCACTCTGACACGAGCAGCGATGATAGGAAACTAAGTCACTAAGAATAGCACGCACTTTGAGCCCTGTCGTAGGAACTCTCGGTGTGCTAAACACATACCAAAACCTTCAAGGCGACGGCTAGCCTCAGTCTGCCGTGCTAAGACCGATCTGCTTACTGCTTTTCGAACCCCTGAGCCCCGAAGCACTGCCTTTTGAGGGTTGTACATAACACTGTTTGGGGCTGGGGGCAAGAGCACGTTCCGTCATAAAACCTGAAAGATGCAGTCCAAAACCCCGCTCAAACCGGAAGCCTATTCAGCTCTGAATAATGCAGCCAACAACGAAACCCCATAAATCTGAACTATCCAGAAGCGTCAAACTGTCGAACGCCAAATTGCAGTTTGTTATTTTTACAGGCACCCACAAGGAAAAGTTTAAAGAGCAAACAAACGACATGTAAGTCAGTATATTATAGGGTGTATAGGACTAGGGTGTCTTCCAAGACCTCATTATATTTAGCCCACTGCCACTTCGAGGGCCTTCCAAGCGAGGCGTTTCATTGCGCTCCGTCTGTTCTGCGACTCGCGCGCTCTGTTTTTGGGGGCTGCAGAAAAGCGACCCCAACGTAAGACCCCTGAACCTGAGCCCTAAACCCTGAGTTTATGGGACCTTCCGTGGAGGGAGCTCGGATCTTCTGGGACCAGACCATCCCGACATGACTTGATACACCTCACGGAGGCCCAACAAGTCCACAACCATGTCCTCGGCTTAATTCCCCCGAACCTACATGCCAAACCCTACACCCAACTGCCCTCAACCCCAAACACTACCTAAAAGACCTCCCTGCAAAAACCGATAGAAAGAAGCCACCCGAGGCACCTGACAGGCCCCTCTTCGGAGAAGCAGGACGCCTTGAGGACAAGCTCTCGCAGTCGGAACATGCCAGCACCTGTAGGGTTGAGAGCTTAAAGGGGGCCATACTTCTACAGGGTTTTTTTGTGGTAAATCTGGCATGCACGGTTTGCGTATATAGAAGGTTTCGGGGTTGGCATGAACGGACTTTCAAAAGCTTTAGAGTTTGGAAGCTGCTCTTCGTGTAGCGGTTACGGGGCTTGGAAGGGCCTGGCGTGTTTTTTATGCACGAAGGCTTTTTAGGTTTACATGATATTATAGGGCTTATGAGGGTTTCGACAGGCTGTTCGGGCTTTTCAAGCTTTGTGGTTGTACAGGGGGTCATCAGGAACTCAATAGAGTTCCGCGTTTGGAGGTTAATGTGTCTCGCAAGGGATTCAGTTTGAGTGGTGGGAAGATGTACACCTATATCACGCCCGAATGCCTAGTGCTTGGGGGATTTGAGGCCTATAGGGGTTTCCGGTTTTGGGGCTATGAGGCACATATTGGTGTAGAAGGGCTTCAGCTTCGGGTTTCGGGGCTACGGGCCCCAGGAATGCCTATGAGGGAAGGCTTGCAGGGATTCTGGGCCCGGGCTGAGGCGCTGTAGGTTCAAGGGGAATGGGGGCTGCGATGCTGAGCTGCAGTTTAAGGGTCGTTGACCCTACTTGGAGGTCCATGGGTAGTTATAAGTAGGGTTATAAGTAGGGTACCTATACTTACAACCCATATCAGGGGACTTATGACCCCACTTATAACTACCCATGGACTTCCAAGTAGGGCTCCAGGGTGCCTGGCAGGACTCCTCATAGAGGGCTCCAGGAGCTACTTCGACGCCGCGACCATCGGACTTTGTGCACCGTGCCCTTGCATTAAAAGAACTTTGGGTTGCTGTCGCTGCCCTGAAGCCCCGCCAAGTAATCACTTCTCCGTTTTATTCAACACCCCCCTAATACTGAAAACCCATTGGGGCGAATCTTCCCGACATCATCCCTGCTTTTAGAACCCCTTCTGAATTAGGTGGGTGGGAGGGTTTGGAGGCTCCAAATACCCTTAGAGCACAGTAAAAGCAAGAGCAAGAGCAAAAGCGGGAGCATCAGCAAGAGCAAAGCAAAAGCACGAGCGGGAGTAAGAGCAAGATCAGCAGCAAAAGCGGGAGCAAGCGCAAGAGACGAGATGCAGCACAACCAGGAGCAAGAGCCAGCGCGGGAGCAAGAGCCAGAGCAGGAGCAAAAGCACGACCCCTCAAAGTGGCTGTAGAGATAAGAATGCCATCTAAAGGCAACAGCACTTTCAGAGTTTTTTTGGGGGAACGGGCGCCTACTTGAAGCTGGCGGCGCAATGCCAAGCTTATGGCCATCGCCAGGTGTCCCGCCCGATCCTGACATCCAGGGGAGCATCCTTCAAGGTAGGGTTCTGGGCTGAGGGATTTTGAGGCAGTTTACAATGCTTCGGACATCAGAACAAGATGTGAGAACAGCTTCCTGATGAGTAACGGAAGCACACCGGATAAGATGAACTCTTGCCCCATGCAGGCTCCAGATACGATGTCACTCACGTTCGACATTGCAAGTGTGATTCATACACGCTTCTCCCTACGATCAACGCTGCTAAGTTGGCCGGAAGCATCGACAAGTAATGCAGCGTTTGCGATGTGCTTGAACAACCACGACAAACAACTATCCGAAGCTTACAACTGGCGCCTGGCGTGACAATTGCAACAACATAGTGCGCGATCATGGACGGAAGATCACCAGGAGCTTCGAAAGGGTACATCTGCTGCTTTGTATCTGTCCGCCCAACCTGAAGACAGCGTACTATAAGGGCCTTAATAATTAGAATAGGATTTGGGGCCCATTCTACTTTTTTCTTTTATAACAAGGACCCCCCCCCATAATAGTATTGGTAATTATTTAGGTCCCTGTAGTACAATCCTCCCAGCGCAGCCTTGAAATTGTGTCCAAAGCTGAGAAACAGAAGCGAAACGCCACCACAAATCTCTCTTGAAATTCAAACCCGAGTCCCTTGAAGCCCTCCGACCGAACCCTAAACCCCAAACTCTTCCGTGCGAATTGAGCTGGCACATTGGTCTAGTCTCCCTGTGAAAAAAACCACCAATCTCTGAAGCACTCCTCAGCCGGCAGGTACTTATAGGGGCCTGGGTTTGGGTTTAGGGTTTAGGGTTTAAGGCTTATTAGGGTTAACTCTGAAAAAACTCCCAAGCGTTATAGACACCCTCAGCCCTTTCAAACCTTCAAACCTCTCATGCGGCAGAGACTCACAAGTCTGCTTGTTGCTACCGAGCCCCACTGATTGCACACCTCAGGGCTGTAGGGCTTTGAGATTAGAGTTTCGGGGCCCTTCCGAACTTGGGGTTAAGTTTAGGATTTAGGCTTCAGTGTTTCACGATTGCCCTGGGAAGCATATTTCGGAGAAGAACCTCTGGCCATTAATCAATATAGACTCAATTAGACCCAGCCCAGACCGTATCAAAAGATTTGCGATCGCACATGTAATTTTGCGCCGAAAACTCTAAACATCAAAACCAAAATACCCCATGAGTTTCCGCAGTGGAACACAGCCCTTGCCACCGTGTAGGAATGCAGATAGACATGATGCCAGGCCGTCCTAAGACATCTCGCAATGCTCCTGCCAAACCCTTGCTGTCCGTATAATCATTATGCTGCTGTGCCGATGGCTGCTAATCACGCTTGATTACTGCTGTTCGTTGCTTGCAGATCTGTCGGCAATACATCATTCATGTTTATGGTTGCTTGTTCTTACGCGTGTTCTCGCTGCCAAAAACTTCGCAGCCATTCCATTCCGAGTGGCACTTTAAATGTTGCTGTCATTTTCGGTTTCCGTGTGTTGCTCGAGTTGAAAAAAGTGCCGGGAGTGGTCGAAGCTACCTGCCCTTCTGGAAGGTCTGAGAGAAGAGCCCTTGACCGTCAGAGCTGAAGCACGGAACCCCGAACCCGCAGCATCCCAAACTCCCAGGTCCCTCAATGCTTAAATCTAAATCCGAGTCATAAACCATTCATGACGAGCTTCAACCTGCAACGACGGAACGGGAGAAGCAAACCCGCCAAGGTTGAGATCTGGGCGGGTGGGGACAGAGCCTGAACCTAAGCCCAGACTAGAATACATGCTTCGCGTCATGGTGCGCGCGGGATGTTTGCAAACCCTGAAGCATAATACAGGGGCCTTAATGATTGAATAGGGTTTTGGGGCCCAGTATACTATAATTCTGATATGATAAGGAACCCCCAAAATAGTATTGGTAACTATGAGGTCCCCTGTAGTACTGAACCCAAGAACCCCGAACGTCGGGACTCCATACTCCCAGGGTTAGCCTGCTTCTGAGAAGAGCCGGAAGCCCGCGGTGATCTCCGCTGCAGTCAGAGCTTGTCTGATGCTTTTTTTGACCTGATGGTTTAGGGTTTAGGGTGTAGGGTTTAGGGCTTGTCGCTTTTTTTGACCTGATGGGCTGTTCTAAAGTGCCTGTTTCCGGTATTCTATCAAATGCAAAGCATTCGGCAAAGGTGCACTGCAAGATTTCGGGTGCCAGGTTGGGGTCTGGGGTACGAGCTTGGGCATCAAACTCAGCTTTGCGAACCTGCCCCAAAAAATACGTGAGTAGCGACTGCATCCCCAAGATTGCAGCCCAGTCAATTCAACATAACGATACGGGGTGGTGCCTGGTTTGGCAATCTCAATAATGAATACCCCGCTACAGCAAAAGACTCGCAACCGAAGAGTCGCAATCAGGGGACTTCGTATGTGGGGAACTGGGGTTGACATGGAGTCCATAGAGTCTGAGCTACTACATTACTTGTAGCCCTACTTACACCCGATTACATTGATTATGCTACCGACAACCTGCACCTGTAGAAACCCCTAAGCTCCGATAAGGCCCCCTGCAGAAACCGCTCAAGTGAACACCAGCTCCTTCGCTCTACTTACAACTGAACCGCCCTAAGCCCCGAAAAACCATGCCCTCACAACTAAATACCGGAATCCTTGACCCGTTAGACCGCCAGAACATTCCCAGATTCCTAAACTTAACCCTTGGCCCCTAAATCGTTTTTTCGTCTTGGCTTCTAGGCGAGTGACGTTGCTGTCGAAGGCTTCTGCCAGCCAACCCTTTCGGAGCTTGTTCGAGCTTCGTGAAGCACAGATCAAAGGGCTGAGGGGTAAGACTTTAAGTAGTACAAGGTCAAGCAGGGTTGACATCACCAAAACTGTGTAAGTAAGGTTTAGCATTGGAAAGTTGAATAGGTTTCAGCAAGATTCGCACACAGGGATTTTGGGTTGTTTGTGTATGCCTTGTAGTGGATTCATATGCTTGGGGTCATGCTGCGCCATACTGAAGGGCTTTGGTACTCTGGTGCGCGAGGTTGGTTTAGGACGACCTCTGGGAAGGTTGAGGGCTTGACAGATGCTGTACAATCTTTGAGGTTTCTGCCCACGAGATGACGACATGGGCATAATATGCCGTGAGATGTTGGGAACTTACATCTTTCCTTACGACTAATTACTATTGAATGCATGGAGTTCAGCTGTTTTGACATCGAGGCCGCACGCTGCAACTACTTATAATATACGGTAACATAATAAACAGTATATTTCGTAGACTACAGCAAGTTATAGGTCATGATCGCGATATACTCTAGTATAATTCGGCCGTAAGGAAGCTCCAGGCCTGGGAATGTCGCTTTCGAGCGACGTGTTGGAAGTGCTGCTTGGCGTAGGTGAACAGCCCAACGACCTCTGGAGAGGCGGAAACATGCGAATTTGTTGAGAGTTGGGGAACTTAGACTATTCATTGCTACTAACTACTGTTAAGTACTATGAAAGACTATTCTTCTTCCTAAATTTATGTCGGGTGCGATCCGAGCCTGAGACCCTTAGCCCTGCGACGTGTCTCAAGGATGCAGTCCTGAAGCCCATCAGGCCACTCTCGCATCAAGGAGGGAGCCCAAAGACTCCACTAGCACTTAGTTAAGGAATATTCCTTAAATCATACTGGGTATCCTATTATACTTTATTCTAATGTATCTTCCTTAATTAAGGGATTTTCCTTAAACCATATTGGGGATCCTATTATACTTTCATGTATATTCCTCAATTAAGGGATGTTGGAGTCTCTGGGAGCTGAGGTGCCTGTTCGTCGTCGCTCTCCATCATGCCCAGTGCCAGAACGTATTGACCTCATGTGGGTGGTTGTCAAAATTATGGTCCGTTTTGGGGTTATTATTATTTTACTACGGCACCTAATGTTTATGGTACCCAAAAAGGGACCAGAATTTTGACAACTACTCGTCAGTCCAGGGGCCGCAAAGCAGCGTGGGCACTGAATAAGAAAACATGGAATCAGAAACTCAGCCTCTGGATTTGGGTGAACATGTGCGAGCATCTGCCACAACCACGCAAAAGGACATACTGAATTCGGGTCCCCTGCCCCCGAAACCCAATTTTTTTAATCGAAGTTCTTAAACGCTGCCCCAAAGCCAGAAACGCAGGACCCTAAACATATTACAGTATGTGGACTTTTGGGCTTAGGGCTTCGAGATTTAAATTAAATGTTCAAACAACAAGGGTCAGGACTGAGTACAGCGAGAGTTTCGGAGTTCGCCCGAAGGCAACCAGTGGAAGGGCACGGGCAAACCGCCAGCACCAAAACAAGACATCCAGCCCCTGAATTTCATAGTTCCTGTGCTTTTGGTCGGGCCGACCAGGAGGGAAATAAGAAATTCAGCCCCTGAATTTCTTATGGGCTATGCTTTCGGCCCTACAGTCGTCCAGAAAGGAAATAAGAAATTCAGGGGCAATGTTTCGTTTTTCCTGGCCTTTAGGCCCGGAGGGTTGTGCAGCAAATCGGCGAGAAGTTTCGGAATTCGCCCGAAGGCAACCACCATGCCCTTTGTACTGCGAAACAGAAAGCAGAAAAAGACAGAAACTTAGCGAGGTTGAACTCAAGCCGAGACCCTAAAAGGAGTAAATAGGTTTGGATAGACTGCAATAAGAAATTCAGGGTACCCGAAATCTGGCAGGTAGCACTCATGACCCGCGGCCAAGCGCTATCTAAATAAGAAATTCAGGGTACCCCGCTTCTGATACTGGAGCTTAATATTCCAACGCTGTCACTGTACCCAAAACCGGTTTTTGGCAAGTCAGGCTAAACAAACTTACGAAACATAAATGCTTCACCTTTGAATACCGGACAGACTTAATCAACCCTCAAACCCCAAGCTCTGAACCCTGAAACCTTGCAGCGCTCAACCTTGAAACCCTGAGCCCCAAGATCAGTCGTCCCGCCCACATCGGCCCAGCAATCTTGAGATGCACAGTGCGCCAGCGGCAGGCTTGGAGAATACTTTAAGGCTTTTGGCTTGAGCTTTTGCACCTAGGGCTCGGGGGTAAGGGTGTAGTTAGAAGTCAAGCAACCTTCCGGCCTGACTACCTGGTTGGCACAGCTCTAACTCTCGCCCCGATGTCCTAAGCTCTGGGTTTCACTTGGTCTCCATACAAAACCTCACGGACTTGCTGCATTCAGGATTTTGTACTCCAGTCACCATAGCCGGAAAGAGACATGCCCTGGCATCCAACCCAAGTCATAAAATGTAAGACAATATCCCTTTCTCTCTGCATCCGAACCTTTTTGCCTGGACAATCTGAACCACCGAGCCATGTGCCTTTGCTTTGCACTCGTTATGTTTTCACGACAACGACACTTGCTGGTAGCATCGGCCTTTCTTTCGTCAGTACTCCCGTTTCATATTAGCTGTCGTCATGCATGCTGGCCAAGAGCAGCCAGGACGCCCCCAACAGACAACCAAACAGCGCATGGCATCGCTGGAGACGCGCGGCTTTGCCACGAGCATGCGGTTTAAGTACGGTGTGAGGAGTTCGGTGCAAATGTGGGTTCACATGGGCAGTGGGAAGCAAAGCTCACCCAGACCATCCGATATTGAAACATATCAATCGCTATTGAAAATTTCAATAGCTATTGAATTTTACTTCGGAGCCACTAGAAACTGAAATTTTTCAAGCGTTCCATCGATGCATAAACTCAATAGAAACTGATGGTAGATTTCAATAGAAATGTGTCGTCAAAATCAATAGAACTTGATAAACATCAAGAGAAAATCATTGGTTTTGAAGAGTTTGTCAATCCACCTTCAGTGTTTTCCAACCCATTTGCAAGGCTTTCCAACCCCATTCGCAGGGCTTCCCAACCCATGTCTTGGGGCTTAATTCCAGCCTCAGATTTCAGGGGTTTCAGGGCTTTTAAACAGCAAACTTTGCATTTCAATAGAAACTGTAACAAACATCAATAGAAAACCATTGGGTTTGAAGAGTTTGTCAATCCATTTTCACTGTTTTCCGACCCATTTGCAGGGCTTTCCAACCCCATTCGCAGGGCTTCCCAACCCATGTCTTGGGGCTTAATTCCAGCCTCAGATTTCAGGGGTTTCAGGGCGTTTAAACAGCAAACTTTGCATTTCAATAGAAACTATAACAAACATCAATAGAAAACCATTGGGTTTGAAGAGTTTGTCAATCCATTTTCACTGTTTTCCGACCCATTTGCAGGGCTTTCCAACCCCATTCGCAGGGCTTCCCAACCCATGTCTTGGGGCTTAATTCCAGCCTCAGATTTCAGGGGTTTCAGGGCTTTTAAACAGCAAACTTTGCATTTCAATGGAAACTGTAACAAACATCAATAGAAAACCATTGGGTTTGAAGAGTTTGTCAATCCATTTTCACTGTTTTCCGACCCATTTGCAGGGCTTTCCAACCCCATTCGCAGGGCTTCCCAACCCATGTCTTGGGGCTTAATTCCAGCCGCAGATTTCAGGGGTTTCAGGGCTTTTAAACAGCAAACTTTGCATTTCAATAGAAACTGTAACAAACATCAATAGAAAATCATTGGGTTTGAAGAGTTTGTCAATCCATTTTCACTGTTTTCCGACCCATTTGCAGGGCTTTCCAACCCCATTCGCAGGGCTTCCCAACCCATGTCTTGGGGCTTAATTCCAGCCGCAGATTTCAGGGGTTTCAGTGCTTTTAAACAGCAAACTTTGCATTTCAATAGAAACTGTAACAAACATCAATAGAAAACCATTGGGTTTGAAGAGTTTGTCAATCCATTTTCACTGTTTTCCGACCCATTTGCAGGGCTTTCCAACCCCATTCGCAGGGCTTCCCAACCCATGTCTTGGGGCTTAAATTCCAGCCGCAGATGTCAGGGGTCCCAGGTTCCTTTTGCAATTCGTATTTGTTCTTTCCACAGCGCACTGGTCCAGCCAAAGCTACAGTAAGGCATCCATGACCTCCGGTCCATCGCGGGCTGTCCAACCCGTTTAAATTGTTCTTAATATTATACAATCAGACTAGCATTTCGCAAAATGGACCGTGGACGGGTATAGGGTTTCAGGTCGTTTAAACTCATGACATATTTTAAAACTATTTTGGGTGTTAAGGTTTAGATTTTGGGCCCATTTCCCCAACATCCCGAGACCCGCCACAAACCTCCAGGCATCCCCAACCCTTTTGATGGTTTAGGGGTTTCGTCAAGCTTTAGAGCTTTCGGGTGTCAGTAGCGGTTAGGGCCTAGAATTAAAAGAGAGTACGGGTTGTGAGGCTAGGTTTCAGGACTTGGAGAATAACTTCCCCCACCCCGACCCCACGCCCCCACCCGACCCCACTCGCACCCTCGCTGCACCCACCCCACACCCCACGCACACCCCACACACCCCACACCCCTCCACCACCCACCCTCCAAAACCATCAAAATCAAGCGCTATTGATTGTGCAAACAAAATCAATATTCCGAATGATATTTTTCAATACCGGATGGTCTGGGCAGGGAGCCTGTCGGCAAGGTTGCTTGCATATGGCTTTGTCGGTGCATTTAAGCGCAACGGCCCGGCAATGACTCATGCCTTCTATATACCTGAATACTGAGTCGTGCTGTTCTTGTGATCTTCCAGAAGAGCGCAGGCTAGTCTTGGCGGATTACTTGCTGCATGACCTCTGGCTGTGCTGGTGAAATCGTTCATGTCGTGCGAAAGCTGCAACGGGTCGGCTGCTGAACCGAACAGCTCGCAGTGCACCGGCGGCGCGGTTTCGATGGCATCTTCATCCGTGGAGCACAACTCGATGCATACGTAGCTCCATGCCATCCCTCTCGTCATTCATTCTGGATTATTCTCCAATGCTTCCAAACCAACCAGCGTCCGGTCTGGTTCATTGTGCAGATGCGAACAGAAACAATGATGGAAGACTTTTGGGTCCAGCTGGCAAAGTACTGCTGGAGACATCACAACGCCCGGGATGCCCTCAATCACGAATTACTTCATGGTCGGAGTTTTTATGCGTCGTTGCCTTTCGCCCAGCCTCCACGTATCCCGCCGTTCAGCTGCCATGCCTTCCTTCGCCCTCACCGATTTTGTACTGTTCCGCTGCGGGCAGCAAACATTGTATAATATCGTGCTGCTGAACCGGAAGTCTTGTAGCTGACACATGAGCAAGTGCTAACAGTCGACACTCTCCGCTGAACGGAAGGGATGCTTTGGCAGTTCGAATTCCTCGCAAGGCGAAGCCAAGCGGTGCGGCGCCTTGGAGCCCCAAGCTACTCGGTAGCGAACATCAATCTCCGAATAACAGTACCTGTTACAGGAGTACTACGAGCACAGCTACTTCAAGTTGAGTTCGCGGTGAGGTTAACAACAGCAGCATTAAGACATGAACTTTTAGCAATGTTGCTTCACGGGTAGTTTTAAGGGTAGCCTGGTAGTTATTGAAATCTGTAGTGCTGCAGCAGCAGAAGCACCACAAACGGCAGCAGCCGCATCAGGAATGGGTCAACTGTAGAAACCGAGGTAGAAGTAAGAGTAGTACCTAGTGGTAATAGTAGTAGTAGCAGCAGTAGTAGTAGTAGTAGTAGGAGTAGTTGTAGGTAGTAGTAGTACTAGTAGTAGCAGCAGGACTAGTAGTAGTGGTACTAGTCGTGGTAGTAGTTGTCGTAGTAGTAGTAGTAGTAGTAGTAGTAGTAGTAGTAGTAGTAGTAGTGGTAGTGGTAGTGGTAGTGGTAGTGGTAGTGGTAGTGGTAGTGGTAGTGGTAGTAGTAGTAATAAGTTGTAGCAGCAATAGAAGTGGTAGTAGTAGCAGTAGTAGTAGTAGTAGTAGTAGTAGTAGTAGCAGTAGCAGTAGCCCTGGTAGTAGCAATAGCAGTACTAGTAGCAGTAGTAGTAGTAGTAGTAGTAGCAGTAGCAGTAGCAGTAGCCCTGGTAGTAGCAATAGCAGTAGTAGTAGTAGTAGTAGTAGCAGTAGCAGTAGCAGTAGTAGTAGTAGTAGTAGCAGCAGTAGTAGTAGTCGTAGTCGTAGTAGTAGTAGCAGTAGCAGTAGCAGCAGTAGTAGTAGTAGTAGTAGTAGTAGTAGTAGCAGGAGTAGTAGTAGCAGTAGTAGTAGTAGTAGTAGCAATAGAAGTAGTAGCAGTAATAATAATAGTAGTAGTAGTAGTAGCAATTAGTAGTAGTAATTAGTAGTAGGAGGAGTGGTGGTAGTAGTAGTAGTAGTCATAGTCGTAGTCGTCGTCGTAGTATTAGTAGTAGTACTTGTGGGAGCAGCCGCAGCTGCAGCAGTCTGAGCAGTAGGTGGAAGTGCATAGTGAAAGGAGTAGTGGCAGTAGTAGCAGTAGCAGTAGCAACTTTGGCACGCTTTGGCAACGTTCCGTGACCCTATACTCGAAGAGTCAAAACTCATGATGGCATTGCTGAGATATCCCGTAAATTGCGCTGCAGAGCCGAAGCACAAAGATCAAACAAAAAGAATTTGCCCGAGCCGTTCGGAGCTGCCTTGCCGCAAAAACTGATGTGTTCTTGGTGCGCGTTCTGGTGCCCTCTCCTCTTGGCTTGCAGGCTACCTGGTTTGGGGCAAGGATCTTGGCAAAAAGCCGCAGGCGAATTGTGTTGCGCTTAAGCTTGAAAAACCAGAGTAACTAAAGGGTCACCATCCGAAAGACTTGGCTGAGCCCTCTCCCCAATAGCACGATGCTCTGAGAGTCAAGCAGCAACAGCGACGACATGTGCAACACAACAGCCATCTCAATAACCATAAACACGACCACGACGAGGACGACGTCACAAACAAATTCCAAACCGAAAGCCAAAAACCGCCTCAACAAGCACTGCCGCAAATGACTGACATAACGAAACATCAACGAAAACGGAAACAGCTGCTGCTGCTGCTGCTGCTGCTGCTGCTGAAACAACAACAACAACTACTACTACTACTACTACTACTACTACTACTACTACTACTACTACTACTACTACTACTACTTCTACTACTACTACTACTACTACTAATTACTACTCCTACTACTCCTACTACTCCTACTACTCCTACTACTACTACTACTACTACTACTACTACTACTACTACTACTACTGCTACTGCTACTGCTACTGCTACTGCTACTGCTACTGCTACTACTACTACTACTCCTACTACTCCTATTACTCCTACTACTACTACTACTACTACTACTACTCCTCTTTCTACACACTACCACTACCACGACCACGATCACTACCACTACTACTATTACTACTACTGCTGCTGCTGCTACACCACTCCTGCTGCTGCTGCTACTACTACTACTACGACGACTACTGCTACTAGCACTAGTAGCACTAGTACTAGTACTAGTACTAGTACTGCTACTACAACAACTATAACAACTACAACAGCAACAACAGTAACAACCACGACGACAACTACGACGACGACTACTACTTAGTACTTACTGCTTACTAAATACTACCTACTACTAATTCCCAACTC